TATTGTATTGCTTCATTATATTTGTAAAATATCTTCATCATCTTCACATTGCTGGAAAGATTATCGCAATTATAAGATTGTCTTGGAAGGTGTGACACTGACACTCTGCCCAGAAGATGTGCTTAAAAGGAAGCAAATTTTAATATTTATTTTCCTTTTTGCTTTGTAAAACCCACTTCAAGCAGACACTTATTTTATAAGCATGTAAACTAAGAAACGACGGACTAATAACATTGTGTCATTTTATTTAGGCCAAACAATAAAAAAGTGGGAGAGGAAAGGCGCTCACTCCCCGCAGCAAAGTACTTGTGTGTATGTGGTGATGCATGAGTAGACCACTGGGAAAATATCAATATTCAATAACGGCAACACCCCTTATCGGTTTCAGTTTTAAACACGTACCCTCAACTGCATGCTCGGAACCACATACTTAAAAACAACTCGGTGCCAACTGTCGAAAAAAGAAAATGCACACATACGCAACGTATCACTTCTCGAGGTTGCGGTTAGACGAAACAGAATATCATCAACATGGACGGATTCAGACTGGTTCGCCTCTCAAATTAATACCCGCTAATGGAAAGTCTCTCTCTCCATTGATGCACTTGTTGCTGGGGGGCATGGCCGAACTGCGCTACAAGAGTGAGGTGCGGAAGCTCGTGCTGGCGCCAGTTCCACCACTCCAGAGGATCAAATTCAGTCCTCAATCTAATCGTAGGCGAAGAAACCACTTGCAGGCTTCTGCTTTTATATGACTTGTACTTTTTGGGTTTTATTTGCCCAAAGAATGTTTTCAGCTCTTTCCCTGCTGAACAAGAACATGCCTTCCCGGGACAACTGATGCTCCTGCATTATTTACTTTTTCTAGGGACAGCACTTTTGCCAAGATAGACTGTTCTAAAGCGATCTTCGGCGAGAATCAAATCTTTCTTGACATAAAGAACAATTTTCTCTCTAACTGGCACCTTTTATTTAAGGGAGTAGCTTGCTCCCGCAATGCATTCGATGATGCACTTCGTAGTATTACCCACTTGTTCACTCTACACGGTGCGGTCACACACATTTATGGGCCGCCTCGACAAAAATGTAGATTCGGACCCGTGGATATCCGCATCCAATCCGCAATTCGCCAAATTTGATTCATTTTTATCCGCATCTGCCAGTTTATTGCGGATATGCACGGCTCTAGCAGTATTCAATGAGTGGTCGTTTAAACTTGTTTAGAAAATGTTAAACAGTTGTAGCGGGAAAACTGGATTGTTGTACAGGCCCCGCAACATCAATTTTTCCGCCAAATTTAGCAGGGAAACTTCATTGCTGTATAGGTCACATAACATCAATTTCCTCACCAAACTTAGCAGGGAAACTGAATTGGTGTATACATGTTTGCGAGTCCGGTCTCAGGGCTCCGCCATCTTGCTCAGTGGGGTGCGCTTGGGTGTGGCCATAATCTGGTTACGATGCCTTAGCAAGGCTTCGTAGTGGATTATGACGCTTCCAAGCAAGATGGCGGCGCCCTGAAGCCGGACTTGCAAACGTGTATAGGTCACATGACCTAAATTTTTCCGCCAAATTTAGCAGGGAAACCTAATTGGTGTATATGTCACGGGACATCAATTGCCTCGCTAAACCTAGCGGAGAAACTGAATTGGTATATAGGTCATGTGACATCAATTTTCTCGCTAAAATTAGCAGGGAATGTTAATTGGTTATAAGGAGTATTCACTGGACGCCATATATGAGGGCGATGTTTAGAGCGCATGCTCGGAACGAGCTCACGTTAATAGGCTGCTAAGACCAGCAATCTTGGTGGTGCAGAATGCACGTGGCGAAAGAACTGTGGAAGCACGTCATCAGCACTCGCTCAGCAGTCGCGCACACAGCTATGGCTGCCAGTGAATACTCCCTATAGGTCTCATGACGTCAGGTCACATGACATAAATTTTTCCGCCAAATTTAGCAGGGAAACCTTATTGGTGTATAGGTCACATGACATCAGTTTCCTCACCATGCTTAGCAAAGAAACTGAATGGTGTATAGATCTGGTGACATCAATTTTCCCGCTAAATTTAGCGCGGAACGTTTGCTCTATAGGTCTCGTGACGTCGTGTCACATGACATCAATTTCCTTTCCAAATTTAGAAGGGCAACTCAATTGGTGTAGAGGTCACATGACATCAATTTCTTTGCCAAACTTAGCAGGGAATCTTAGTTGGTATATAGGTCACGCGACATCAGGTTTTGCGTAATTTAGTGAGAAACTGAATTGGAATAGCGGCCACGTGACGTAATTTTCACTCACATGATTTTTTCTGCTAAATTTAGCGGAGAAACTAAATTGGTGCCTGGGTCACGTGACGTCAATTTCCCCGCTAAATGTAGCGGCAAATGGACGTAACAACAGACAGAGAAGATTTTAGAATCGGGAGGGTTCCGTTAAAAAGCATTTAATGCTTTAGAACTAACTGAAGCTTTTCTTATAAAGCATGTATATGCTGTCACAAGCAGCTTTCATAAGGTGCATTGTTTAGTAAGCAAGCAAAACCTGCATTCTTTCAGTCTCCCTGTACTTTCGAGTCAAGTTGGAAAGCAGCTTCAAGATTTCCATAAACTCCCTGCTGCACTCACTGGGGGTGCTGGCATTTCCAAAATCGTCCATTGCCAGAGCAAGCAGTGTTAAATAGCCAGGAACGTAGAAAGTGTTCAGGAGATGGGGGAGCGACAATGGGGAGGGGGGATTTTTGCTCTCCTTCCCAAAATTCTTTACTATACTCCTTGTCACTAGTTGTGCGCAATACAGGCGAAGGCAACGCCAGGCAAGGTGAGAAAGGGCAAGCAGTAGGAAAACTGTGGAGGAGGAGAGAACCCCCCTCTCCTCTCCAACATTCCTGGTGCTCTTCCTTCCTTCCCTCACCCTTCCTGCCCTCCTCTCCCGTTTCGCCTTCTTAGGGCTCGTCCTTTCTCTCTTCACCTGGCGTTGCCTTTGCCTACACTGCACGGAACTAGTGACACGGAGTATAGAAGTGCACAAAATCTTTGGGGTCAGACAGCTTGTGAGCAGACCACAAGTGTTTGCATTGGAAGATGTTTGAAACCCATTTAATCATTACATTAATTCATCGAAAATTATCTTCCAAGTATGGCAAGAGATAAAAATAAGCGTTACTTCACTTGAGAAATTCAGAAACATGCTTGGATGGAACAGCGCGGATGAACAGTCACACATTCATCCGCGCTGTTACATTTAAGCAGGGATGGGCAGTATTTCAAATACAGGTATTTGAAATATGTATTTTAAATACTTTGTGTATTTTGCATTTGTATTTAATTACGAAGTGGGTAATGTATTTGACGTGTGTATTTAAATACTAAAATGTGGGTATTTCAAATACAATTGTAATTAAATACAATTTTGTGGGCAAAAACACATCCCTCAAATTTATTGTCACGACTCATTTTGCTCATCCTAAGATGTGTCCAGAGCAGGAAGAAAACTATGTTCTGCACCAAATGCAGTGTCTCTCAATCAAGCACAAGCGCTTAGTGACTTTGTGATTACGGTGCTAGTCCAGGGCAAGAATAGTGACGAAATCGACGTTCGCAGGCAGACTGGCTAAATAAGTGCCTGTGACAACTTGTGATGCTTTCCAGCCTGATTTCTATCCATATTTTTGCCTGGAACATACTAAATGCGCGGGTCATCCAGATTTTCGTGACTGGTGCGAGTTGCAACAATAATAAATTCTCTAGCTAGTGCTGCGCGTCTTGATCATCTCGGTTCTTTGTTGGTCTATACCAGGGGTGGCCAAGCTGCGGCTCGCGGGCTGCATGCGGCTCTTTGCGTGTTAAGTTGAGGCTCGCAGCTCCCTCCCAACCCCCCCCCCCCCCCCCACACGCACACACACACACAAACACACACTCTCCCGCCTCCCTCCCGGTCCAACACCACACGAGCACTTCCAAAGACAGCTTGGGGTTTGGTTTGATAGTCTTGTGCTACTGCTACCTTACGCACAGTTGGACTGCTTTTGACTCAGATAGTTTGAAAGTAGTGAGAGTTTCGTTTATTGCTCTGGACAAAAGAGTGCCCCCCCCCGTCCGCGGCTCTTGGAAGTTTCGTGGTTTTGTTTGCGGCTCTTAGGATGGGTCAGTCTGGCCACCCCATACCAAAATGTAATCGACAAAAAAAGCTGCTTGAAGCTTTGTACTTTTTTCATCCATTACGTCCAAGCTGATTACATTTTTTTGTGATTATAATTCTTTTACGTTACTAGAGCCTCGCACACTAACTCCCGAGTGTGTGATGCAAAATTAAAATGAGATACCCAGAAACCCGTTGCAGGTGCCCTGAAGTCGCTGACGCAAATTTTGAGGAATGTATTTGGAATAGTATTTGGGAGGAGACCGAATACATTTGGTTGTATTTGTATCTTGTACTTAAATGCTTTTCTGGAAATGTAATTAGATTTGTAATTAAATACTTTTTTTGACGAAGTATTTTGTATTTGCATTTCGATACATATTCGCATGTATTTTGCCCATCCCTGCATCCAAGCATGAATTACCAACTTGCCCAAGCATCCACATTATCAAGCTTTAGAAACATAAGTACAACAAGACTGAATAAGGACACTGAATGGCCGGACGTCCATAAATTTGTGTCCATTCTCTCTTCATGTGCATTAACCAACTAACCTTTCAGAATCATTGCTCTTGTATATTCCATCTCAAATGCACAGTGATGTGGGGGGGAGGGGTCACACAGGCATGTGGTCTTAAGAGCACCATCATTGCACAGAGAAAAAGCATATTGCAGGGGTGCCCTCTTTTGCCTGCATACCTTGGATAGCTCTGCGCACAACTTGTGAGGTGGAATACAGCCAATCCGAGGTAGAATGGTGTGCCTTGCGAGACTTCACGGGCCTTGCGATAGGCACGTGGAGATTTTTTGTAGTCTAAGGGATTGCAGCTTTCAGGACATTTCTTTCTTCTCCCCAAAGGTTCTTCAGACAGCTGAAATCTGGAAAAAAACAGTAGGTGACGGCAAGCGATGCTACCGAAGAGCGAGATCTGCCCGGCCTAAATGAATTGTTGCTTGGTGCTAGAGCTTTCGAGGACACCCTTCGTTTCTAATAAACTCATGTGTAGCCACGTCTGATTCTTCGTCGCATCTTCTGCATAAATTATGTGCTCTGTTGGTCTAGCCAAGCCTAGTTGTGCTCTTCCTATATACATTAGTCTGTTCCTCGCATTAGTCAGGAGTCTCCAAACACCCAGCATCATCGCCGGCAGTAATGCATTGCCACTGCCCTTCATACAATGGCTTCTTCTGGGACAGTGTGCATAGGGACTCCAGTGGGCATATTCTGTGCTTGATGGTGCTTTATTTACGGCTGGCACAGTTAGAACCAGTCCTCACATTTCTGAAGCTTCATCAAGGACACTCTTGTCAGATATAGGCCTGTTTCTCCTGGCCAGGGGCCACTGTAGTATCTGCAAGACACAACAACAAAGGAGGGGCTGTGGCGTCCGCAAGACACTACCATTTAATGCTGACATAAGCAGCATCCTAGTGTCCCGTCAAGCATGATACACGGGCGTATGCAAGTGTCTGTCAGCATCTGTCTACATCTGTCCACATGTGCTAACAAAGCTGAAAGAACTCGAGAATCTTTGAAATAGACGAGAGAACAGCGCGTCTCACGCCTTCATCGTCCTATTCAAACATGTTTTTTTGTTTTTTTCAATGTTTTTGTTTTTGTTGTTTTGTTTGACACATTTATATCAACATAGGCGAGTGTCGTTGCGCACGACTGAAACACAATTTGAAAATATAAGATTTTGCTCGTCAGGGGCACTTCCCAAGAGCTACAGGCCTATGGGACAATCGTAGAAGCTACCCAGGCATTGCAAGTTTGATTCTGTATGCGATGCATTCAAGCAACTCAAAGCTGCACCAAAACACGGGCGGGTTGGCGGCAGCACAGCATTGCGGCAGATGTTCGATTCCTTTGCTTTACCCTCCGCATTAAGTACCTACCTGCTTTCAATTAGTCTTTGCTTTCTCTAGGATTAGTCGACAAAACAAACTGTTCACCACAGTTGTACCCATGAAATGCAAACACAGGTATTTATTCAAAGGTCAATACAAAAGGACTGGTTGGGACAAAAAGGTGTACGCCATAGAACATTTCACAGGCTGGCAGTAGCGCTGCCTGGCTCTGAGCAACTCGTAGGAGAAGAACCGCTTTAAAGGAACGGGCATAGACTCTCGGCCTAATGTTTGTGCGGAAGGCGCGATACTGCCGCCTATTGCCACCTCGTTGCACTACCTCTATATTCCTTTTTTCGATACAGTATTACTGCACAATACTGGAAATCAACATGTCTATTGACGTTGCAATTCTCAGGCTATGTAACGGGCCTTTCCAAGGGTGTATGGTTTTGACAGAACACATTGAGTCGTAGGTAGCTGAAAGATGCAGACATCAAACGAAAAATATCATCCCCACATCCTGTGAAGAGCATGTTGACATCTCCAAAAATCTGGTCTCAAAATACCTAGTATGTAATTGTCAAAAAGTCAATGTTTGAATCTCTCATGCTCCAAACTGGAACATCACAATGCAGAGAGTGGAATAATGATGTACCATAAACTCTGGTCAAAGGGAAAAGGTTGCTTATACGGGTATTCTTTTCTGAGGAGCGTGCGTGACATCTTTCCTTGCAAGATGCTACTGGGGAAAGTCAAGAAACAGATACAGTAGAACCTTGTTGCCACGTTCCTGGTTTTCATATTTTCCCGGCTTTTACGTTCAAAACTGTCGGTCCCGCCGAGCTCCCAGCTGCCCAGGGGCCTTTTCATTTTTTTACATTTTTGCGGATCTCGCATTTTTTTCCCGCTGTCCCCTGAGACACATATCGAGGTTCTACTGTATTTGTTTTGTCAGCAATAGTATAGACAAAAGCGAAAAAAGTTTAGCCTGTTTCAATCATTGCCCTTGCAAAAGTTTCCACAATATGGCTGATGTTAGTTGCACTTTTTGTCATCTTGTCATTTGTCAGAGCAGTTTGCTTTCATCAAGTCATGGCAATCTTCGTCTAATATTTGGAAACTGCTGGCATAGTCTCTAAACTTGATAAAGAAAAAGATATTGTAATTATCCCCAAAAAGATTTTAGTATTAGACTGAATGCTTTATGCACTTTCAAAGGATGCTTTTTGAGCCCATACAATATAATACAGTCAGGTTTTGAAGGCAGGCAATTTACAAACTGAATGTAACATGAACATACAAACGTGCATCACAGATATTCAAGCCTAGTAGTGCAATAGACTAAAGGCAGCCCCATTATAGCATGCTATTGTTATCACAAACAACTTCTCACATGCAGTCATGTGTGGCTCAAGGTTGCCAAGTAAAGATGTGTTTTTTTTACAACAAGGTACCAATAGAACACCAAGTTCTAAAAAAAAGAAGAGACGAAGGTGCCTCTTGACATGTGGTTTCCTTACCTACTACACAAACTGGATGTTGCAGATGAAGAAAGAAAGTGCATCAGCAATGACATAGTTTGCTTTTTGTCATTAGGAAAATTAATACGCTGCAAAGGCGTGATGTAACGGACCTCAAAAGCAAGCTGTCGGTCTCTTCGAAACCTCCAGCATGCAGGTACTTCGTTTGTTTGATTCAGTCCATTTTAACCAGAGTCTGACGACTATAGGTGATATGTTATTGAGGAACTTAAATTGTCAAGAAACTTATTGCATCTGTGAAAAGGCTGCTTAACAACATGTTTTTGTTCTTCGCAGCATACTGTTATCAGTAATTGTAGATCTTTCCTTCCGCTTCCATTTATTGTTGAACCACCTGCTGCCTTACTCTCAATCACTTAAGTTTGATCATGTGGCTCAGAGCCAGTCTTATCATTATGTTCAAAAACCTTCCAGCACATCTGACCATGTGACCGTTCTCCGTAAAAGAAAAGTGGGCATGCAGGGCATGAGAGTGCAAGCACGTCAGCATTTAGGCTTTAGCTTTGGGGAATTAAATCGCTATGGCATTTAGTGGGACGCAGTTTCACCTGTCCACAGACATAACCTGCCTTGGGTGTGGAAGGACGACGCTAAACTATGATGTGCCTTGACAAACAGTGACCCTCTCCAAAACTTGGAAAACAAGACGCATAGGGCGCCAGAGTTTCAGTCTCTTGACTCAAGAACTCCCACTGACGCTCCTATTGCTCTGTCTGTCGCTGCCCGCTATGCCACGGGCACTATTCGGACAACTGACACTTTCTTCGTGAAAGTCTGACCCAACACCATTCACAACCTTAACTTTGCGATTCAGTACTACATTTTTTAATTGTGGGCATCTCGAATATCATAGAGTAATCTCGCATTTGAACTTATTTGCTTCGTAGGCAGAAAGTAGAGCGAATGACAGCCAACTCTAGTATGGTGCAAAGAGCAAGGGGCTTGTTAAGGCGAGGACTCGGTGTCTCAAAGTCCAGAAGTGGCTCAAAAACAAATGCCATGTCGATATTCACTGTCATCAACGTTCATGAAGATACACTTGCAGGCACCTTCTTTAAGTTGTTAAAATGCAATGTTACCTTGATATTGCGTTGCGGTAGGCATCTCAGTTCCTCTGGAATGCATGGAATCCATCCAAGCTCATTTTCGGCAAACTCTGCTAGACTGTTTGGTGTGCAGTCTAGCTTACTGTTGACTGGTTTCGCACTCAAACACATAACCTTAATTAAACATGGGCACATCTTTAGTGATAACAAAAACTGGTGCTCAACAGGGAACATGGAAACATGCAAGGCGACTGCAGGGAAATACGGCTAACGTTGAATCACATCAACAACCTTCCAATTTCACGGCGGCTGCCTTCTCAAACGTACAGTGGGCACGCCAGTAACAACAGAATCAGATCTCTTGGTGGAACTTTTCAACGAGATCTTCCAGTTTTATGTCGAGAGTGCAGTTTGACGGCGCCTTAGTCATGTATTCAAGTGCCATCCAATAGTGTGCCATCAACACATTTATGACCATATTATTGGTGCATCAGCTATGTGCACCATGTAATATCATTACCCAAGTATGCCATCCAGACAAAAAAAAAAAAGAATTGGCGTCTTCACACTTGCACTAGCCGTACTACTGCTACCTTTATCGGTACAGAGAGCAGAGGTGTAAGTGACTGGACTATGCACAAGACTTCCAAACGAGCAATCGACAGATTTCTTCAAGTTCTATATCCCTCAGTCTGCGTGAGAGGTGGAAACAATAGCTGCCTTGGGTTAATGTTTCAGTAAATCCTTTTTACATGGGACTCAATGTGGGGCAGTTTGTGTTTGTACTGTTCAGTTCTGCTTCACCATTGGGTTATATTTTGTGCAGTCGACTAGAGTTTGTTTGATCTTGTATTTTTGGGGTGCACCATCAAGAACCAGTCTGCGTGAGAGGTGGGAACAATAGCTGCCTTGGGTTAATTTCAGTAAATCCTTTTTACATGGGACTCAATGTGGGGCAGTTTGTGTTTGTACTGTTCAGTTCTGCTTCACCATTAGGTTATATTTTGTGCAGTCGACTAGAGTTTGTTTGATCTTGTATTTTTGGGGTGCACCATCAAGAACCAGCAAATGGGACCACGGTTATGCATTGTAGTCGAACACTGCTCGACAGCAGTTGGATGGCACTTGAAGGAGTTCTTAATACACTGTCAAATGGCACCCTACTGACACTGCATTGCATTCAACGTAGGGTGGCCAGACGTCCTGTTTTGGACGGGACACTCCCGTTTTAGAGATTCATTTCTACCGTCCCGTCACTTTGTCTGAATAATGCCAAATGTCTCGTTTTTGTCAAAACTCTCTTGCGAAATCAGTCCCAAGCGAGTGAAAGGGAAAACAATTATTACTCGTGACAGTGTATTAGAATAAACATTGCATAAAAATGTTAATTCCAGTAAAGTATGATTTTTAGCTTTTTCAGCGACTCAACTTGCAAATAACTTTTGTTCGCACAGATGTGTGTACGGGGCACTTTTCTGTATTACAATATTTGGCATGCTTAGGTTTTTTAGAACGGGGAAGAAAGGTGCTTGTGTACTCAAATAGTAAAAGAAAAGCACCGGAAAAGTGTGCATTTTCACTGTGGACTGTATAGTAGCAGAGCTATTTTTTTGTCTCGCTTTCCCCCCCCCCCCCTTTTTTCCCCCTTCCCCTCTTTTAATGTCTCGTCCCTTCCCCTCTTTTAATGTCTCCTTTTCTACACTGAAGAGTATGGCCACCCTAGTTAAACGAGACCTTAACACATACCTAGTTTGATTACATTCTTATGAGGTTTGATGCTCTCAGTGTGAAGAGCCGCGCCTCAAAACGACTAGTACATTTTTAGAAGATCTAGCCGAGTTATTCTATGCGCTCTGTGCGCACTTGTCCCGACGCGACCGGGTCCTTTGAGAACCCGGCCTTTCTTTGGCACTTGTAGAGCAGAGCAGTCCTTCAAAAGGCCCAGCGCTTCTTGTTCCTCACCGACGCCGCACTGCGAGTGCCCGCCATTCTGTCCAAAAGCTCCTGGTCCGCCCACGGAAGTACAATGCACATAAACACCTGTCCCGTGCGCACGTCCACAGGAAAGGTGCACACGGGCGCAAAAAGCTCGCCGCTGTCGACGAAGGCGCGTATCTTGGCGTACAGCTCAGGGTAACTTCCCGCGAGGTCGATGCCCCTGGCCTCGAGTTGCCGCTCCACGTGGTGCAGCCCTTGGAGCCGGTGCCGGTGTTGCGGCAGGAGCCCATTGGACGTCGAGCCCGCCGCGGGCGGAGGCACGGCGGACGACGACACGACGGGCAGGATGAGCGTCTGCACGTCTTCTTCGGGCAGCGGGCCGCTCAGGCGCAGCTTCATGGCCTTGACGACCATCTCGCGAGAGATGGCACCGAGCCCCGCGGGCGTGACGACTTCCTGCGTGACGCAGACGGCCACCAGGAGGACAAACTTACGGCCGGGGTCATAGTCGTCACAGAGGGCGCGCACGCGGGCGTACACGCGGGGCCCCATGTCATGGGGCAGGAGGTCGTCGCGGGCCACGTAGAACATCTGCCCGCGTACGACCTCTCCCCAGCCGGCCTCGAGGAACTGGGCGGCCCGCTGGGGCCCCTGAAAGACCAGGCGGATGACGCCGCGGCCACGCGAGAGTAGGCCGCGCTGGGCGCACAGGGACAGCTGGTGGCGGGAGGTGGGGTCGTGGCGTATGCGGTGCAGGACCTCCTGGCACAGATTGGAGACGCGGGTGAAGGGGCAGCGCTTGGCGTCGCGGTGCCTGCCACGGCAGGCGCGGCTGCAGAAGTAGCCGTAGCAGGTCGGGCAGGTGTGCACCTTGACCTTGCCGTTGGGGCCCTTGGGGACGGCCTTGTTGCAGTCGCCCCAGTGGCAGCGCACCGTCATCGGTTCCGCGGCGGCAGATGGTGGCTGGGGGTCGGCGGAGGCCGAGTCTTGGTCGGAGGTGTCCGCGTTGTAGTTACTGGGGCTCAGGTAGAGGCCCGGTGCTTCCGAGTCTGAGTCTGGGGGCGAGGGTAGCTCCTCCTCGGGCTGCGTTTCTTCGTCCGCGAATTTGATGTCTTGTCTGCTTTCTAGAAGTGGGGGGGGGGGGGGGGGGAATTATTTAGTCAGGGTTACGGGGCTTCTGACAGAGAAGCGGTGTATAGTAGAACCTCTCAGTAAAGACGTATATTGAAGCAGATAAAGCTATTTCGGGCACTCGAGATATCAATGTTGTCCAGGTTTTTACTCCAGAAATATTGACCTTATTATGGAGAGGCTTTATTGTATGTGCTCCCGAAATAATTTTGTTTTCATTGTTCTGACTATGATGTCATCAGAATTGTGTGTAGATTTGCTTTCTCTCTGCGTATGTTGGAGATAAACCAACTTTTTTTCATCACCTGAATTTCTGATTCGATCAGAACTTCCAAGAAAGTAAAAACTTCTAATATCTATCCCCATTTATGAGATCTTAATAAAGTTTGTGTAGACACGCCACTGCTACTGTACACTCCCTATAAAGGTATACATTCTGAACAGTAACAACTCGTAAGCCTGCGAGATGTTGTTTAAGATTGAGTTACCGATTCCAGCTTTTCCACATGAAATGACCCCGTGAAAGTTACGGAAAAGTTGAAACACTACCGACAACAGGAAATATCAACACTTCAGTTCGGTATCCCGTAGCACTTGCGGGCTCTGCCCAAACACAGCTGCAGCGCAAGCCACGCAGTGTCCCCAGCCAGGCTGAGCAAAGCATCTGAGCACCCCAATTCTAGGAAAAAATGTAATTTCCATTGCAGCCACGCAGAAGCAAAGCGTTATGTAGGCGTTGCAGGCTGGCTAGTGTGTGATATATTTGCCGATAGTTTGCGTTCAACACTTCTTTCAAAGCCATGTATGCTCTTAGAGGTCACAGTCTGCAGTTTGACCAGAACCATGCAATCGACTGTTTATGCCAACGTAAGAAATAGCCCCCTCAAAGACGGATTACTTGCACTATGGCGTCGTCAGTACTTAAACAGTTATTTACACTACATTTACGGGTAGACCTTGGACACAGTTAATGTAGTCTTGCGGCATGCGGAGATGAGGGGACATATGGGCGGGCGACCGAAGTGACCGCTGCAAGAAGCTGGGTGAAGAGAGGCAACATTACTGTGCTTTCAAGCAACACGAAGTGCATCACAACAGAACGATTTGTTACGACGAGGAAAAGGTTGGGGAGGCCATCCCTCGCCATCGGGAGTGCAGACAAGGGGACGAGAAGGTGGGACAGGGGGGGCGCTGCCAGACACAAACGAATGAGAACTTACTCCGGAACAAACCATCATCGGAACGGGGACTTCAGCATGTGCAATGCGAAGTCACTGAGTCTGGTCAGTCTCGCTAATGGCCAGAAAAGAGAGACTGTGAATTAGAACTGTAGGGAGGTTCAGATGCCCTGCCACAGCTTGCTAGCTCTTGGGTCAACTCCATTGCCATGAGGGCCAGTGGGAGGGAAAATGTTCTAAATACTTTGCTGTCACATATTTCATCTCTGCTCTTCAATTTGCGCCAGTGCAATCACGCTTCGTCTTTTCAATACGACATGGATTAAAAGCGGCAGTGGAGTTGCAACCTGCTTATACTTAATTGCCCCACCCACTTCTTTCTTGTAACCACATTTTCGGGAGACTTGCCACCGCACCTTTCTCGTTTCTGCAAGAACCATGTTGATGCTCCAAATATCTTCGACACAGCTGCCTCGTGACGTGGATCAGGGTGAATCATGAGATGGTGCAGTCAAATATGGACAGAGGTGTATTATGCTTTTACAATAACAGAATTTGTGAGGAAATCAACTTATAGCTTTGAGACATTTTTAGAAATGCATATATTCTTTTAAATGTGCAGTCTCAGTGCAGCTATAAGTCTGTTGCAGGTTTAGAAAAGCGAGACAAGCTCTTTCCCACAAAGCTCTCTGCTTGCCATGATTATTGACCTCTTCTCTCTACTCAGCTGCTCTCCAGCATTCGCTCAGCTGAAGTGGAAAGAGTAAAGGGCTTTGGGGAAGGCGCTTGTCCTGCTTTTCGTAACCTGCAAACAAACTAACATTTTCTACTCTGCCATCTTTAACAGGTACCTGAACAAGTTTCCCCATTGATCAGGCCTCCACTCTTTTGTTCTGACAATGGCATATAGAAACCTCGTCGGGAATCCAGGTAGCAATAATGGTTGAGCTTGGGTGTAGGGTATGTCTTACTTCCACAAACTATGTGCCTTGTCGTGCCCACGAGTGTGGACAACGGCGCCGATAGGTTTCACTAGATTAGATAACATTAAAACGATATACGCTGATGGCCCAGTTAGGTAAACACCAAGAAAACAGCGCAAAAGACTTCAAGGACAAGGAGAAGACCACACAGGACAGCCCTTGTCCTGTCCCCTCTTTTACTTGCCCTTTGTCTTTTGCGCCAATCGTTTAGTGTGAAGAACATGAATTTACGGCAAGGTATTCCTTTGCGGCCCCACCTTCTTTGGCACTTGCTGTCCGTTCGGGCGAGTGGTCCAGGGAGGAAGAGCCGCTGGACACCGACGGCACCGTCAGCTTGATGTCCCCCGTGGATGCCCAGCTCGTCTGCTGCAACAGCGGCGCGTCCTGAGTGGGCGACGTCTCCCACCGGTGGTCCTCGTGCTTCAGGATCGAGATGGGCGTCGGAGGTCTTGCCGCGCCCTCGCTGCACCGGCGCCCAGACTGCTGGCCTTCGGGGAAGAGCCCCTTGGGCGGAGGCGGAGCAAACGCTGGGTGGCAGAAGACAGCACACAGTTCAGCAGATGATAAAAACACTGTGCTCGTGGCATAGTACCAGTGGCATCAGAATAGAGGGGTAGGGGGAGGGCAATCACCCTCAACTTGCAGGATTCGGAACTTCGCGAAATACTGCCTGGGGAGGCTAGTGTTATATTTGGTTTCACATACACTTGCTTGGGGCACCCCTTCTCCCTTTTTTCCCCAGACATTTTTTTCATAATGGCAATCCACCCCCATACAATTCACCCCTCCCTCACCCCATCGCCCTGCAGCCACCCCACATAGACCCATGAACTCCCAAACACTTTCCATGCCACTATATACCAGCAAAGTGTACTTCACTGAAAGTCTACCGTAGAAAAGGTTTAGAAACTAGATCTCTGGGATGTATGAAGCCTTGACTGTTCATGTGAAGAGTTCTACATTTATTCAACTCGAAGGCGACCTTCTAAACAGAAAACATACATTTTTCGATAGAAAAAATAAGTCTGGCTGTACTCTAGCCGTTCTGAGTTGCTAGTAAGTATACACACTGGTTGCACCGCAGCACCACCAATCAGCTTTTTCCGCAGCGCAGTGCGGTCGTGTGGCGAAGCGATCACTGCGGGTGATTTTTACTGCTTTATCGTAGGTTTGATCACAAAACTTGATGTACTGAGCATACTAAGAGCGGTGGCAATCAATTTGTCGAACGACGTTTCATGGACAAATTGTTTCGTCGACACTGTGATGTTTCATCGACAGATCGTTTCGTGGAAACGAGCACTCGCTCGTTTCATCGACAGATGTTGCGACGTTTCGTCGACAGCTCGCTCTGCCAGCTCCTGGCGTCCTGGCTCCGCCAGCTGCGCCTCCTCGCGACCTCTGCGCCTGTGCGGCGCGCAGCCTTGTGTTGGATGGATGGAGTGATTAAAATGGCCGACTGGGCCAAGTATGGCGAACCAGCGCGCAGCCATCTTGCCACACCAACCTAAACTATCGCAATTTTTTTTTTTGCTTATTCTTTTTTTTTGGGGGGGGGGGGGGGTTCGGCCGATCGCACTGATTTCGGAACTTACGATTTGAATGGTTTCGCTCGTGTCTTTGCCCGAACCTTTGGGGAAGCGTTGTCAAAGCCGGGAAGTTTTGTTATCGACCCAGTGTCCTTTCTCAAATTAGATTTTTAAAATATTCAACAATATGTATTTATTTTATTAGTACCCTGAAGGCCCTAAAACAGGGCATTATACAAGGGATGGCAGCTCATATTTGTGGGATAATAAGAAAAGCATATAAGCATATACACCCATGAACAACAAAACAAAAAGAATCAACAAAATATTCAAACAAAACATGACAAAAAGTTCACATACACTTATGTTTAAAAAGTGCTAGTTCATTGTGGATTCTAAAAATTCGCCTAGCACTTTTTTAAATACATCTATATTGCGAGCTGTGACTATGCTGTTAGGCAAAGCGTTCCATTCATTAATTGTAAAAGGTATGAAAGAGTTAGCGTAAGGAGTCGTGGATGCATATATGGGTTGTATTTTACAGCTGTTATCTAATCTCGGAAAAAAAGAAGTGGGAGGAGGAAATAGTTTATTTCTAATTGTTGGGTTGTGGTGGTAAATCTTGTAAAACAGTGTGAAACGAAATATTTTCCGCCTTAAAGTGAGTTCAGGGAAGTTTGCTCGTTTACGTAGTTCAGACACACTGGTGTGAAAATAATAATCAGAATAAATAAATCGTAATGCTCTTCTTTGGACGCGTTCTAGTTCGTCTTTCAGATAAGTTTGCCTCGGAGACCATATGGATGCAACATATTCTAGTTTTGGGCGTACTAATGTTAGATATGCAATTTGTTTTACTTTAGGGGGTGCGAGTTTTATGTTCCGTCGGAGAAAACCGAGTGTGCTGTTTGCCTTAGCAACAATGTGATTGACGTGGGTGGTCCATGTTAGATCGCTGGTTATATGAAGACCAAGATATTTGTAAGATGAGGATGAACCGAGCGTAATATCGTTAATGCTGTAGTTATAAGAAGACGGTGACAAAAGACGAGGAAAGGTGAGTACTTTGCATTTATCTAGGTTTAGTGACATCTGCCAATTATCACACCATTTTGCAA